ATATATATATAATTTTTGGCTGTGTTGGGTCTTCGTTGCTGCGCACGGGCTTTCTCTATTCAAAGGAAACTACATATTACTCCCGAAAGTAGCACTGGTAGAGAAGTATCATTTCCATACACTTCCATACTGTAAACCCCAATACTACAGAAACAAAACCACGTGATTAAATTCTAACTAGGCACTCTGCCTGCCAAGAACTTGAGCCTGGGGTCGACTCTGTTTTTCCTGCAAAAGGGAGATTAGTTGAGGGGAGAGAGGTGTTAAAGATACTTTAGCACTGAAAAGCAGCTTTCTCCTGGAGGTCTTGAAAGAAAACTGAAAAAGAAAAGTTTTTCTTATGGCCATGCATTATACCAGAGTAAATCCTCTGTGTCTGACAGTAATATGAAGCCCATGCTTTGGGAAAAGCTGTCTGAATCCTTTCTTTTAAGCCAGAGGATGTTGATACCTACCTGTAGCCACAGTCTTTGCTGCGAGAGCTGCTCCTAATTGTTTTATTTGTTCTATGAAAGAGCTAAGTGGGAGCAGGCTGGACCTGAGATCTGGAGGGCAATGGACTGTCCTTTGTCCAATTTGCTTCTGCTCAGACCCATGAAGCTGAATTCTCCCTGGTAGCTGGTCCAGGAATAATCTGGTAACAAACCGAGGTCATGCCGCCGTGGCTGGTTCCGGTGAGATTTGCCATGGTAGGTAGGTTTGGTTTATTTCTCACAGGTGTTAAATATGAGCTACAGTACGTAGCCAAAGATCAGAGAGATGCTGATACGCAGGTGGGTGAAACTGGGCTGTGACTGATGGTATTTTCTAGCCGGTGACCCATGTTGAAGCCTCCTTTGACACCCTAAGTCTTTCAGACCCGCCACCACTTGACACAAGCAGCTCTGGACCCCTGTCCACTTAATCCCCTCAATTTTCCTCCTGTGTCGCCCTAAGGAGATTAGAAGGAACTAGAAGAGGGAGGTTTGCAGCGGGGCCTTCCTGTCGCCCCCCACCCCGCCCACGGAACCTACCCACACCTTTGCTTCCCTCCAGTCCTATGTGCAGTTGGACCCTCTTCCATACTGGTTTGCCCTGTGACCTCACTGTCTTGTGTTTGTCCTCCACCTCTGGCTGATCTGTAGGTTCCTCCAGAGCCCTCAGGACACAGGAATGTCCACCTGGAGGGGATGCCATGGGAGGGGGATTCCTGCCCGAGAGAGAAAGCTGGACAAAAAGATGGTCAAACCTTCTTCATTCTTATGAACATCACCCCTGACCTTCCAGGATGCCTCCTGGGAGCAGAGCAAGCACTCAGGAAATGCTTGGTGACTTGTAGTGGACTGGCTGCCCTTGAATGGTTCCTGGATGCCTCTCTGTGGGGTCTCTAGGGTAGCTCAGAAGTCAAGAGAATAGATTTGGTGTCAGTCCCAGTTCTGTCACTTGCTTGCGCTGTGAGCTTGGGCAAGTGACTTCATCTGTCCGAGCCTTGGTTTTGTCATCTGTGAAATGGGGATGAAAATTCCCAACACCTAGCTTTGCTGTGAGAGGTAAACTGTGTGACCCGTGGGGCAGAGGGCTGTATGGAGGAGGTGCTCGGTAAGTGGCAGTTTCTATGATGATCCTTTCAGTCTTCCTGAGACATGCTTTGTGAATTAGCAGCCTTGATGAAAGAAAAGCCAAGCAGGATGTGTCAGAGCAGGTGGGGGCATTCAGCAGTTGGGGCGCACACTGAGCACCCAGGAAGAGTCACAAAGTTAGCCCCCAGCAAATGCCAGCATCATGGAGGATAGATAAAGACCATATCTTGTTGACTTTGCACCCCCAGCACTGAGCACAGGGGCCTGGCACAAAGCAGGTTCTCATCAAATATTATCTGAGTGAATGAATGAAATGGGCAACCACCTTCTTGTGGTTGGGGAGGGGTGGTTCTCCTTTGGACCCTCGTGTAATTAGCTCACCTTGAGTGAAGGAGGGAGCTCCTCAGACATCACTGAATGCCAGCGATGAGCCTAGCTCTGTGCTGGGTATTGGGAGTGGTCACAAAATGTTTTAGGCCACAGTCTCTGCTCTTGTGGCGTTCCCTGTCTGGCTTGGGAGGAAGGATAAACAGTCACCCATCAAGGATCTCAGGCTGAGAAAGGATCAGCCAGTTGGATCATCCAGTCCAACTGATATCCAATGTCCAAAGTTCCGTATGCCACACCTGCGCTGTCTCTGCTTGCATACCTCCAGTGACAGGGAACTCACTCTGTCCCAAGGTGGGATTGTCCTTGCCTTTGCCTGGCAATCTTCTACTCATGCTTCTCGGCCCAGCTCACATGTGGCCCTCATTCCTGAGCAGTCCTCACTATTAGAACAAACACACTTCTTTGGAGGGAAAGAAATGGGCCCCATGTAACTCCTACCCTTTGGATCCACATGAAACGGTCACATTCCCCCCATGTCACAGATCACAGTAATGACCTCTCTCATCCCAGCTGGGCTGCTGCTCCTCCAGCCAAGCATCCCGTTCCTCCAGCTGCTCCACACCACCCTCCCCAGAGTTCTGTGCACAGAACCGGGCTCACCTTCTCTGTGCAAAGGTCCACACACTTGTCCACAGACATGTTGGGCATGGCAGCCGTCACGGGCAAGGCCAGGGAGAGGTTGTCGGGCCTGCGGAAGCAGCCTCGGAAGACTGCACTTCCATCTGGAGAGACAGAGGGAAAAGAACTAGTCAGATGTAGGCTGGGGGAACCACCTTCTAGGCAAGAGTCTTGCCCAAGGTCACGCAGTGAGCCACAGTGGAGACTCATGAGCTAGAAAATTCAAAGAATGTCCTCAACCCTGGCATCTCTGTCAACAACACAGGTCACTGAGATGTTCTTGCTGGGCCATATAATCTCCTTTGTCACCACTCCTATGTCTTGCTTTCTCATTCTTGGTGGTGGCAACTTTTCATTTAGGGAAATGATAGATGCCATGGAGGATTTTCGTGATCTCATCAGGAGAGGGTTGGGCATTTGAGGACGGAGGGAAGCAAAGGGTCCAGAGCTCTCCTGCCCCTCCTTCCAGCACTGGGGTGCCCCCTCTCCCTCCCATTGTCCTGGGCTTTAGGGGAAAAACCGGGGCCTCGGGAGTCTCTGCCCCACTCAGTGCTCTAAGGGACTGATTTGTTGGAGCGATTCCCCTTCAGATAACCTAATCTGGAAACATCCCAGCTACGCAACAGAAAATTCAGAAGACGTTGCTATCTCTTTAATAGAAGTCATCCTCAAAACAACACTCAGAGATGTTGTCTTCAGCTGCGTTTACTTGAAGCTGAACCTGAGACAATGCTTTATGGCTTCTCAGGAGAAGCAGGACAGGGCAGGGGAGGAGCTAAGTAAGCATGTGATCTTGGCTGGGTGCCACCTCTAGCCTGGAGGGTAAACTGTACCACAGAGTTGGTCCCACTTTAAGGAAAGGGGCCGACCTTGGCCCTATGTGCCCCCCTCCCCAACGTCTGTCATTTGGAAGGCTGCTGGGGCAAGGGGGCAGATGTGAGCCATTGGTGGCAAAGAGGATTTGGGTGGGTACCCTTTGCATCCATTACAGGTGTACACAAACACATCAATATGGATGCTCATTGCAGCATTTATTTAACTTAACAGGTGAAAGACTGGAAGCAACCTTGCTGTCCAACAATGAAGTGCTGGACAAATAAAGTAGGAAATGACAACACAATGGGATTCTATGCCCCGTCAAAAATAATGATGTTAAAGGTTACTTTAAAGAGATGAAGATGTGTTCAAGATAGAATGTTAAATAAAAACTGAGACCATGAAACTCCACATATTATAAAATATCAATTGTGTCCGCAAATTCTCTCTCAGTGTAAATCTCTGGAAGGACACAGACTAATACATTAACAACCATGGTTATCTCTTAATAGCAGGCGTGATGGATAAGTTTTGTGTCAACCTGGTGAGGCTATGGTGCCCAGTTGTTTGGTCAGACATTGGTCTAGGTGTTGCTGTGAAGGTTTTTTGAAGATAGGATTAATATCTACAGTTAGTTGACTTTAAGGAGACTTAAAAGAGACTTGCCACTAAAACGTAGGTGGGCCACATCCAATCAGTTGAAGGGATGCGGGGAAAAAACAAGGTTTCCCAGAGAAGAAGGAATTCAGCCTCTGGATGTCAGGCTTGCCAGCCTCTACAACTGCATGAGCCAATTCCTTAAATCAACCTCTTGATTTATATATTTGCATATATCTTACTGGTTGTGTTTCTTTGGAGAACTCTGATAGGATATAGGCAATTTTTATTTCCACATTTTTGTAAAACTCTTTTCTAACTTTTTCGACAGTGGATAGTTATTTTTTAATGTATTAAAGACAAATTTTAAAAATTATAAGTGGCCCCTGTCAAATTTATCTAAAGAGTCATGGTGCCCATTTTAAATTGAGTTCCACTGTTCTCAAATCTGAGCTGTATACACTTTTCAAGAAGCACAGCTTTCACATAAAATAAAGGACACTGTTGATGCAGTGAATCAAAATCAGGAGCACAAAAGTGGGTGCCATTTACTGAGCACCTACTATGTGTGATCCACTCTTCTGAGAATTTTGCGAATGCCATCTCATTCTACCTTCCTGGGAACTCTGCAGGGTCCATAGTAAACTCTCATTTTATGGATGAGAGACACAGGGCTTAGAGAGGGGAGGTTATGTGACAATACCAGGGACCCACTGTTAGCGAAAATGTGCTAAGGATTCTCTCAGAAAGACAATGCTAATCCTTGGGGAAAAGTGAAGCAAGCTACAAAAATCAACAACTCTGATACAACTCTGTCTTCCCCTGCACAGTCCTGGGTTGGGGAGGGTCTCAGATCCCTCAGGGTGGTGGGAGAGGGCTCCAGGAAGGAGCCTTCTTTTTTTTTAGCATAGACGTATATATCTATATTTAAGTGCAGAGAAAAGGATATGAAATTACTCCCCGGGCAGAAGGATGGTGGAGGAGCGGGGAGGGAGTCTAGGAATGAAAATTTTAAATCTCAGCTGTCAAAGGCACCCTAGTGATTACCTCCACCACCTGGCACCCTGTAGCCTGAAATTGCTCATCGTGGAGGCAAATCTAGCAAGCTGAGAAGACATCTGGAATTGGGTTAAATGACTGATTTCCGGAGCATGCTGCAGGCTCCCGCCACCCAGCACCATCTCCATTCCCCACCTCTCACTCCAGGCTGCTGAGAGAGGCTGGTGAGAAGTGATGGTGGTGGATGCTGTGGTCCAGGCCTCAGTTTCCCCACATGTAAAAGATAGGGAGGGGGTTAGACTATGCAGTCTCTTCTGTACAGGACAGCCCTCCATCCCCCAAATGAGGAACTGCCAGACCCCAAATGGCACTAGTGTCCCGTGGGGGAACACGGGACAGTCTCCCATCCCGTGGCCCAGGATGCACTGAGGGACGTGCCATTTCATCGGTCACCCTGAGGAAGAGTTAATGATGCTTAGAGAATGTGCCGTATGAGGTGAGGATGCGGAGGGGAGTCAGGCGTTTAAGCTAAAGATTTACAGCAATGAGATGAGAAGCCGGAAGCAGTGTGGACGAAACCTCACGTAACCAGAAAACTTAGTTAGCTGGACGCCAATCAGGTCCCAGGGCAGAGACGCTGGCCTTACTCTCAGAAATAAGGGGACTCGCCTTTTCTCTTTAGACTCCACCAGTGTTTATTGAGCCCGCACGGATGCCAGGCTCCAAGCTGGGTGCTTTGGATCCACTGAATCTTCGCAGCAGCCACGAGCAGTAGCTGCCACGGCTGGCTCAAGGAGGCACTCTGGCTTCCAGGGTCACAAAGCTGTCTAAGGACAGAGTGAGATCAAAGCCAAGTTGCTCAGTCTCCCAAGTTTATGCTTCTTCCAATAATAATAATGCTACTATGATGATTAGATGCTTATAGTCATATCATAATATCATTGTTATCGTCACAGCCACCATATATGGGTCACGTGCTATCAGCCAGGAACTAGGTTCAACTGCTCACACGTGCGGCCCCGTTGAACCCTTGCATCATTCTGGTGGTATAAGGATCCCCATTTTTACAGATGGAGAAACTCAAGCCTCAGAGGGCTGAAACCGCTTGACACAAGTCACCCAGCTTATAAGAGGCAGAGCTGAGACTGGAATCTAAGTCTGAGATGCTTCCATTCTTGACGATCTTATCGAATGCTCTCGCCGTACCAGGCACTGTGTAAGCACTTGATATACTTTATCCTCCTAATTCCTATAAAGAAAGTCTCACTCTCCCCATTATACAGAAGGGGAAACAGAGGCTCAGAGGGGTAAGTGGCTTGCCTAAGGTCACAGAGCTGACAACTAGCAGCATCTGGATTCTAACCTGGGAACAACTGAGCTCAGAGTCCTCACACTCTGGGCTGTCCCTCTTTAAGGAACCACCCCCAGGCCCTGTTTGAGCATCTTCAAAATACTGTGACATATATTCACTCCCCTTTGACCACTAATCATTCACAAAGGCTGTCACTCTGGGGTCTCTCGACTCTGGAGTCAGATTCTCTTTAAGCACCTAAAAATGCCTAGAACTTGACACTGAGTCTCCAGAACCATATTCAAGTTGTTAACCTGCCCCTTCCCCACCAGGACCCTGTTTGAGGGACCATCTTATAATCCTCCTGGGTCCCAGCTGGGGCAATGGTTTTGGAGTTGAGGCCAAGGGAGGCCCCTTCAGGACTGGTGTGGTCCTGGGTACACTGTAGGGGTGCAAAGCCCACCACCTTTTATCCTATAGGGTGGATCCTTCCTGGAGCCCTCTTCCACCACCCTGGGGGGTCTGAGACCCTCCCCAACCCAGGACTGTGCAGGGGAAGACAGAGTTGTATCAGAAGGCATTGGGGGTTTGGGGGTATGTGTGGGTGTGAGGGAACCAAAGGGGCAGGAGATGCAGACCATGAGGGTAGCTTGGGCCTGGTTGTAGTGAGGGTGTGTCTGGGAGGTGGGACACTTGTGCACAGGGCGTGACAGGGAGGCAGTGTGTGCATCTTGTGTGTGTGTGCGTGCACGTGTGTGTGTGACTGGGTTTGTGATGGTGTGAGTAGAGATCTACCTATTTGGGCGCGTGGATACTGAGCTCTGAGACTACAAATGTGCCCCCGTGGACCTGGTTCACCTGAGTGCATTTGGGTCTGTCCACGTGGGAGTCTAGGACCCTGTGTGAGCAGGTGTATGTCCACCTGCCTGCCTGGTCTCTTGACAGTGGGCACTGGGCTGTGGCTGTGTGCTTCGGGCTGTGACTGTATGGTTGTGCACTGGACCCCTACAGGATGAGTCTTATCAAGGGGAGGAGACATAATCTTGGATGCTCTCTCTGGGTTGCCTGGCAACCATGTACCAGAGAGAAGAGCTCCCCCTCTTCTACCAGAAGGCCTGGCTTAGCCTCAGCCAGGATCCCACTGGACTGGCCCAATGCCAGCAGGGTTGGGCATTTCCCAACAACCCCTGAACAGCCAGCACCCAGACTGGAACAAAAACTTTTGTCTCCTCAGTGCAAGGCCACTTCATGCTTGAGCCATACAAGAGAGCAGAACAGGAGGGGTGGGCCCCTCTGATGGAGTCCAGCCCAGACTGAGTCTCTCCCCAGGATGTCAAGACCACAGAGACCCTTACACCTGGAGCCCACAGACAGGTGCACTGTTGGTATCGGTCCAGCTCC